ATCCTGCTCCTGCGGCGCTGAGCAGCGTGCGCCCGCTCCAGGTTTTCTAGGGCGTTGAGGATCTGCTGACTTGTAAAAATACCAGAAAAAGGGCTCTCGTTGAACACCCTAAGGGGACAGTACTAGGGGGCACGGAGGAGAGACCCGCCGCGACGTGCGCGTCCTCAGCAGCTCGCTGACTTGGTGTGTCAGGTGCTCCCCCTGCCCGGAGTGAGAACGCGCGTTTCTTTTCTTTGGAAACTTCCTGTGGCACCTTGGCCTTTGCCTTGCCCTTGGGATACACTTCACAAATGTATCGGGAGTAAGGGGGCGTCCTAGGCGGGCAGCCGCCCAGCGGCCTGGATATCGTTACAATGTATCCATTTTGGAACCGAGAGAGTAGTGGCACAAAGGGTTAATTAAATTTCTCAGGAAGTGGTGACAGCTAAACCCAGAACTGATTCACGGCACAGCCCATGCTCTTCCAAGGATACCTTACTACCTCCAGGAAAAGGAGTGGACAGTAACGACCAGTCTTGTGATGAGCAGCTGCTGCGTGCCCGGCGCTAGGTAAGTGCTTCCCATAAGCTGCCTCAACCCTCCTCGCCATCCCCGGAGTAAGGACCATTGTCATCGCTGTTTTACAGATGAGGAAACTGACTGTTCCAAGATCATGCGGCTAGAAAGTCAGCCAAGGCTCAAATCCAGGACTGCCAGCAATAAACAGAGATGGGGGGGGGGGCACTTAAAAGATATTTAGAGATAAGTAACAGCACGAGTATATCTTTAAAATTTTTTTATGGAATTCAGTATTCTGAGATTTCATTTGAAAGGTTCAAAGTATTAGGTAAATTATTATACTCATGGGAGGCTTCCTGAAGGAAGTAGATTTTGAACGAGTGTGGTTTTTACTATTTTATGTTTTAGAATCTGTTTTAATGATAAGATATTATACATGATAATCATATTATCCCTGACATAATGGGACTACCAGTCCAGTTAAAGAAGCAACACACTGAATTCATTTTGAAAGTTGCATACAGAAATCCTCCTTCCATTTTCCTAATGTTGCCACCTAGGCAAAACACACTTTTCCCAGCATATACTATAAGTGTTCAAATGGTCAGAGCTAAAAATCACCCTTCGTTTTCATAAGCAGCATTTGCTCATGGCTGAGTTAGTGATGGGGAGGCCCCTGAGTCATCTTATCAGAACCGACTCCCAGTGGGATAGCCATGCGTGATGACTTACTCTAAGACTCAGTCCCTCAGTCCCACAGTCCCAGGCACTCTGGTGCGATATGATCCTCAAAGCCAGTTTTTCAACTCCAAACCCTTTGTTTTTAGTCACTTCATAGCTTCTCGTTGTGAAGGAGAAAGGCTTGGCAGCATGGGAACTAACATGCAAACAAGGTGAAAGCATTCTTCCAAAAATCTGAAGAGGCCAAAAAATAAAAAACAAAAAAACCTCCAGTTTTTTAAACATCCAGATTTCATTAAGATAGTCTGCATCTGTACATAATGGAAAGAGCCAGAAAGTCTTGGAAACTAATTAGATCTCAGTTATATGTGTAACTGATGTTAGGAATCAAGCATGGGATAGATTTGAGATCAATTTCTATTGTTTTTAGTTACAAAAATAAAAATATACTACCCATTCTCCAGGTTTTTCTAATTGAATATTTTTATCAAAATCTATCTTTGCACCTGGCCAGCCATGGCTCAGCAGTTGAGCATCAGCCTGTGATTCAGAAGATCGAGGTTCGATTCTGGGTCAGGGCAGGTGCCTGGGTTGCAGGCTTGATCCCCAGTAGGGGGCGTGCCGGAGGCAGCTGATCAACGACTCTCTCATCATTGATGTTTCTACCTCTCTCTCGCTCCCTCCCTCTCCTTTCTTCTCTCTGAAATCAATAAAAACATATATATATTTAAATCTATCTTTGCTATTCTCAGTGGGCAATATTAATATTTGTAAATGCATATTATATACCATATTAGATTCCATATTATATACCATATTAGATTCTTTTTCTCATTTTATATATGTATATCATTGTATATATAGTATATATTGTATTATACACACGAGCACACACACCTGACAGGATTAAATGAAACAAAGTAAAGAATCTAGTATTGTTTTTGGTACATAATAACATAATATGCATTATATTTATATATGCATGATGCATATTGTATGTGACCATATGATATCTACCCTATGAGGTAGATATTATAATTTCTGAAGAAACTCTGAACCCCTTATTCTAAATGCTGACATACACAGATCTAATTGTGTATACTTTTTGGCAAGCTGAGAATTGTTGCTCCAATATACACATATTGCAAGTCACTCCTCTTGGGGTTGATTAATAAAAGAAGGTACTAGGGATTGAGACTAGAAAAGGGAGGTGACGCAAATGACAAAGCAAGTATAGAAGTGTTTTCACACTACAAAAAAGCCTTTGGAAACATGAATTGAAAGAACATGAATCTAGATCAATCTTAGAACTATATACCCGAGTCTGTTTTCAGTGAGAGGAAACGATGATGTTTTACAGCATCAAAGTGTCAACCGAACTAAGCTAGGATAACCCTATGATTTAGGGAGTGGGTTTGGAAAATATCTCTTTTCTTTATCTTGAGCTCTGCAGTTACCTATAACTGGGGCTATGACAGGCTGTGGGACAGAAGTCAACAGCTTCAGGTTACAAAATATGAAGATACTAGATACCTAAAAAGACCAGGTTTTTGCCTTCTGCATTTCATTTGTCTCCCTCCTCATGCCTACTTGGCACAAACTCTGCCTCCCATCATCTTCTTGAGGAAGCCAAGACACCAAGCGTTGCATCATGTTTGCAGTCTGAGTTTACGGTCATGAGCGTTGAAGGCCATGAAATGTCAATGGCCCATCTTCCCCAGGTTCTAACCAACTGAGAACAGACACAGGGGACCAGATGAACACCTCATTAGAGCATCGTCTTTATTACTAGGTCAGGTAAGTATCTCATATCTAGCAAAATGCACGGATCCCTATTAAAACTAGACTGAACGTGAGACTGCGACCTACCTCTCTGTAAATGTGCACCCTGAGACCTACCTATGGACTAAGTTATATCTTCAAATATGACTTTATATACCCAGTTAGAGTAAAGCCTGTTCACAAGTGGGGTCAGAGGGCTGGAGAAAATGACCGGTTTCCAGGGCTGCCTCTGGAAAGCATGCTGAGACAGGTCCTGATCCAAGCGTGCCCACTGTCTCGGAGTCTGAAGCGGAAGGATGCTCACTGGCCTTCTGGGTGATTCATGACACGGGCGCGTCAGGACAGAAAGAGAGCCAGAGGCGGACCAGTATCTTGTTTAGAAAGCAAGGTAACCCCACCCACATAGATCTGCCGGGAGGGAACTCTAGGAGCATGGTATTGGGTAACTTTGGGCAACCAGTTGGCCATACATTTGACCAATTCTCGCCCTTGCAGAAGTTTTCACTGAACTGAACTGTAATGCAAAATCCTTGCCTTATATCAGCAGTTATAGGCCATCTGTTATCAATGGGATGCAGGAATGTCCTTGGAAGTGTTGTCCATTACTTCTTTAGTGGATTCTATATTGAATCCCACATTTACAAAGTCATTAAACTATACAGGCAAGTTTTGCTGCCTCTAAGGAATTTGTTTTCTGGAAATATTAACTAGTAAGTTGACTTTCACTTCCCACTTTGGCTCTCAGGAAACTAAGCCAAGTTTAAGGTTCAACGTATTTGTGATCTTTTTGCACCCTGGTCATTACTCTACATATCTTTGCCTTGATTTTTATTGGTATTTTATCCAGTGCACTTTTGTTATGAGATACATATGCATCTATTACTTAATTTGCTATATGCCAGGTACTGCTGCTCTAGGTAATACAATAACGAATAAAAACAAACACTCCCACTCCTCATGGGACTTCAACTGCAAGTGGTAAAAATGCCAGAAGTCAAGGAACAGTACCCCATTCTCTATTTCTTTTTGTAGTTAGTTCACTTATTCTCACATGAAAGCAGGCATAGGGAATATCTGGGAGCTTGTTCCTCCTTTGAAAGGTACTATAAGAAACAAACTTGCCCAGCAGGGCCAGTGTGGCTCATTGGTTGAGCATCGACCCATGAACCAGGAGATCACGTCTCGATTCCCAGTCAGGGCACATGCGGGGGTGCGGGCTCGCTCCCCAGCAGGGCCCTGCA